AATCGACTGCATGAAGAAGCCTAAAAAAAATAAAATCTCAAATAAGACCATCAAAAAATTATTTAGTTAATAACCTGATGCAGTAACAGATTCCTTCGCCGCTTGCGTCTCACTTTCGTTACAAATGAAAGGGAATCTTCACAAACTCCAACCCATTCCCCATTGAGAAAAATTCTGTGCTTCCCACTAAGAGAAGTAGATGTATCGTCCACCACATTCTCCATCCCACAACGAAACAAGGTGGGAACTACGGGCTTCAATGTGTTTAAGCTTACAAGTCCTGTGATGGATAAATTTTTAATAAGCCCACAATTTTCACCATCCGGGGTGGAGAGAAAGCAAACCCTTCCCCAGTGAGAAGGATGCCTGTCCACAAAAAAGGAAAAAAAAAACATTAGTTATGTTTAGAAACTGTATGAACAGATTATAATTTAACTTATATCTTCCTTTCCATCATCCATGGATCCCAAGCTGAGATCAACTTCTATGAATGATATGATGGGAAGGTATTCACAATCTCGTGAGCTCATTCACATTTGCACACTTTGTAAGAGAAAGGACCCGTTGTTTCTTATAGATGAGAGAGACAGACAGAAAGGAACCCCAAGAGGTTTGAAAATTTGTTGCAAGTGCCACCGATAAACTGATAGTTAGAGACAAGGCAAGGAGAGAGAAATCCCATGAAGTTTACAAATTTTTGTAGTACAGCCTATAAAATGAGTATTACAGACAAGGTACAAGCGTCCTTGGAATCAGAGCTCAAAGAACAAAATATATAATCATGCATCTATGTACCATCATGATAGCCAATAATGCAAAAATGCAAACTTAAAAGAAGTTCAGATAACTCACGGGTATCTAGCATCACCAACTTTCCCAGTGTATGCAACCTGTTGACGTGTTCTCCTCAATTCAGCCATTGTCTGCAGGGGATTAGCACGACCAAGCGTTGCCACCACACCTGAAATTCTTTCCATCCTCTTGAATGAATGTGCCCATGCTCCAGTAGAGAATGCTCGGGATAGACCATTAGTGATTATGGAAGCATCAAAATAGTGTTCAATTGGACGCACATCACGATCTCCATAGAGGTCCCTTTGCAAAGCCTTTTCCATACGCCTACGTGCATGTGCGATATGTACTTTAATCTCTCTTTCAAGCAATTCTCCAGCCAACTCAAACCTCTTATTGCGGAAATCATCCCTATTATCACATTTCCTACGGCCAGTATAGGCTTGCAGGAGACATTTAACCATATAACCAAGGAAACGACACTTCTGCTTTAAGCCTTTCAAGCTGGCAAAAAGATAAAGGTTCAAGCAATCTTCAATTTTTTCAGCAGGTGGGAAGCTCGTCTTTTTAACCTCATTCTCCAAAAAATTCAGAGCTCTTTTACCCCTTCGAAAGTCTTTCCACTTATCATCATTATCGACTACACGAACAGAGGCAAAGAGAATATTCAAAACAGTTGGATCCTCTCTGCCAAAGTCGATTAAATCTACTATTTCTCTGTCCGAAGAAACACCAAGTGCAAAGAATAAAATCCACACAGGAATTTCTGTAGACAAGAAATATACATTGAGGACTTTCTCCTTGCTTTTTAGTTCTTCAGACTTGGAATTTTCAACTAGTCTAATAATTAGTCTATTTCTCTTAACTTCTGATCTATATGCCACAGTCCAACCTTGATTATTAGAAATCCAGAGTCTTCTCAAACAAATTTGCTCTTGAGCAATAAATATCTGAAATGAGCGTGAAAACAATATTTAGGTGGTTAGAAAAGAGAAAAAAAAAAATTAACCACCGAATAGTAATACATGCAAAATAGGAATAATATCCAAACAAAAGTTACATGGTATAATTAATCATTTTTATAAAAATAGTTAGTACTGAATTAAAATTATATAGAACTGAAGTTTCTTGACTAAATTTGATCCATCAGGAGGCAGATCACATGCCTGAACATCGATGAAATAATTAAGCCTAATAGCTCCCACTTCCAGGACAACTAATTTTTTAGACATACCATATTCTGATTTTCAAAGTAAGCAAGCCAGCATGGCGTAAGTAAGATTAGATTATGAGAAGTCCTGGAGTCATAATTACGTCAACTTGTCAAGTAATAATAATCTCTTCAAACAAACAATCAATTAGAAGTTCTGAAATGATTATTTTGTGACAGTAAAATTCAAGAAAACGGTGCATTTTATTTACAGATTATATAACTACAAAGGACACAAATGGAAGGAAATGCACTCACTTTTTCTGCACCTTTGATTAAAAAATAACCTCCATGATCAAATTCGCAGTCACGTTTCTGATCATCCTTCATCCAGCAAAGGTCAGAATTCACCATCACAGGCAGCCTGCCTATAAATATATCCCTGTTATCTTGACTTAAGAGATCCTTGTCGACATATTGATCTTGTCCAGTTTTGAATTTATCACTTCTGACTAACCTTTGAGTATACACCTATTACATTGCAGGTATCCAACACCTCATTAGGCATTTATTCAACAAACTGAGGGTCCACAGGTCATAAAAGAATCTTAGCAATTTATTAGTCACGAAAGGTAAGAAAAAGGCAAGAAAACAGTAAAAACTAAACAGAAATTTCAATCACCTCTACATTAATATTCATTTTCATCCTTGAGGAATAAGTCATGTTTTGTAGTCGAGCGTGCCTAGGAAGCATGTTATACTCTTTTCCACTTGCTGCACCACCCCAGAACTTTGGCTTATCAAGAGTTACCTTGCCAAACTTCACTGAAGCATATCTCCATTCTCCATCTCCTTTCTTTGAGGGGTCATATCCTGGCTGAACTACGATCTCACCAAAGTAATCAAAGGACTTCTGAATGCCACTTTTTATGAAGTCATTGTACGAGTTGAGTTGGTGACTGATAAGGCCGTACTCATTAAAAAATGCCATTGATGACTTCTTACAGAAATCCTTTAAAAATGTTTCCCCTAGATCATGAATGTTGACTGGCTCAGAATAATCATCATCGTCTGTATCCATATCAGTTCCAGGTGATAAGTCTTCTGGCTCACTATTCATCTCTATATCGTCCTTTGCGCCTGATGTCCCCATTAAGTTCAAGATCTATAAAAAATACAGACAAACTTAAGAAGCAGAGATACACTAAAATCTCTCAAACAAATAATATCACAAAACCTGATGAATTTTCTAGATAAAACAGGCAGACTGAAGAGAAACGTGTATCAAACAATCAGCGAATTTACAACGTTGTTCGTGGAGAAAAGTTAATCGACATCTTTTACATATGTACAGCCCTGTGAAATAAGCATCAAGAAGTACGCATATGATTTGGAGAAGCATCCTCAGCAACTCCTGCTCTGAATAAAGTAATAGCACAAGAAGATTCGGGGATTTTAACAAGCCTATTCTTTCCGTTCCATTTCCAAATCCATAGAATGATCATTTTTCATTTCTCACAAGGCAAAACCAAAGTAAAAGCAAAACTGCTAACCACTACCGGTCCACATACACGCTACACTCACTGAACTCCGCACATGAAAAAAATTAAAATAAAATAAATAAAATCCTCACACTACGATGCTCAAAACACACATTCAACACTTCACCATACCTAAACGAAAACAGCAAAAAGCCGATACTCTCGTAACTAATCAAACTGACCACCACGCGATCACGCAGGTTAGAGATTCAAGTACCTTCGAGATTAAACCCTAAGCCACTTCCTCCGACGACTCCACAAGCTTTATACGTTCCAAGCAAGATCAAAATGGAGCATCCACGCAATGCCGTCGGTCCTCGCTCAAGTCAAACGCCAGTTTCCGAGAGAAGACGATCTCTCTATGCTGCCGAAGCAAGAAACTGTGAGAGAAACGGACTAAATTAGCGTCAATCGTCCTGAAAATTTGGCATTCACAAAGAAAGCTGAGCAATGAAAGAGAGAGTGAAAGAGAGAGAGAGAGAGAGAGAGAGAGAGAGAGAGACCTTTGAATTATGACAGTACGGCGAGGGGATACGAAAAAGACTCATGCATCCTTTCGAGAACACTGCGAGGGAAATGAAGCTGAGAGACTGGAAGTACGAATGGTAAATGTGAAGAACGAAGAGGGTCCTAACCGTAAATTTTCACCAAGCCTGAGTTTGGTTGGGAACCGGGATTTCTCGTAATTACGACAAATGTGGAGGACCTAAAAATAAAATAAAATTTTTTGCCTCCCTTTTATTTTTTTATTTTCTTTTTTGCGCGCGCATTATGTGAATTTAGGGGTTTAAATTTCCGAGTATTTATTAAGATTATAATATTTTTATTACTTCAACTATATGATTAAATAAATTAAAAAGTTTCACATCAATATTAATTATTTATCTAACATTATTTTCTTTTAATATATACTTAATGTTAGGGGTGATTTTGGAAATAAAGTAAATTGAAAAAAGTTAAGGATAACTATATACCAAACACGGATGGGTAGAACTTGGGGCAAGATTGGACTTGTGCATCGATACCTCGTAGTAGTTAAATTTTCTTAATTCACTGCTCAACTATCAATGTGAGATCCCACATCGACTCGAGAGAGGATTCCTTATAAGAGTACGGAAATCTCTCATTAGTAAACACATTTTAAAACCGTAAGGTTGATGGTGATATGTAACGGACAAAAGCGTACAATATCTACCAGTTGTAGGCTTGAATTTTACAAAGTACCAGAGCCATACACTGGATGGTGTGTTAGCGAGTATGTTGAGGCCTCCATAAAGAGTGAATTGTGAGATCCCACCTGGCTTGGAGAGAGAATTTCTTATAAATATGGAAACCTCCAACAATACATACAAACCAAAATAAACAATATCGGCTAAGGTAGGCTTAAGCTTTTACAATCAACATAAATATAACTCTAAGTGATTCGGTTTTGACTAATTCGTGCATGAGTCAATAGACAATAAAAAAATATAAATCAAAGGCATGAACAATCTTAAAATAATTTGACAATCGAAACATAGCTCAACTAGTGATTAAAGTTTTTCAGAGAATAAATTATACAAATGATAAGATTACAATCATAAATCTTTAAATAATCTCGGTTGGTCGTGTTCTAAACATAACTCAACTAGTGATCATAGAGTTCTTCAGAATAAATTATATAAATAATAAGATTACAGTCATAAATCTTAAGAAAATCTTGATTGGTCGTGTTATTTATTTATGGTCATCGGATAGAATTATTCAAGACGACGTAGAAGATATTCGACTTCGACTTCCTTCGTGAGAGGCATTACCCATTCGTCGTAAAGGCGAGCCGCGAGCAATGGATCAATCTTATACTTTCCCCCATCAACTGTGTTGTTGAGGGTGACTTCTTGCCCAAACACCCTAGCCTTCTTCTCTACTCTCTTCTTCACCATCTCTTCCACAGCCTCAAATGTTAATAACTTCATCAAACTATCTCTTTCCTGAAAGAACAGTAAATTAAATTGGTTTCAAATGTCAATGACTATTCAAACGCTTCAATCCTAGAATTCGAAAGATCATGTTCATTCATTCTCAAGGTAGTCTTTCATGAACTTACCGTAACCTAATAAGGATGGGCCACGGGATAGGCCTCGCCTAAGACGGGTGCACAGAAGGATGAAGGTGAAACTCGAAAGGAATTTACTTCTTTTTCTATTTTATTTCACCAAGAACTAAAGTAAATGACAACCCGACTAAATTTACCATACCTGAGAGCGAATAGGAGGCTCGTATTCGTGGGGGGCATCCCTAAACTTCACCTCAGCTACGTATTTTCCACAGTGAATCCTCCTTGAAAGTGCCTGAGATTCAGTCGAATCGTGGCACGTGTAAGAAATAAATCCGACACGGTTGCATTACCATTATGAACTTAAAGTGATAGCTAGTTTACAAAGTGTTTTTACCTGCAAACAGGCAAGATCACTAGCTGCAGTGGCTGCATAATTTCCATCGTCGCCATCGGCAACCAACAATGGTAAGAATTTATTGAAATAGAAATCCCATATGGGTTTGTTCATATTAATTGAAGCACCTGAAGGATGCAAAACCTGGAAACATGAATGTATTCAGGTCACAAACAGAAGAGGCAAAGTTCAAAAGCTTAAGAACTTGTTAAACGATCTCTCACCTTTGGATACTTGCGAGGGTGCACCAAAGGACGAGGCAAATGTTCTGGGAAGAATGCATTTTCTTCAGGATTCTCATATCTACCGGCCTGTTCATCAAAATCGAAACAGATAGAAGAAAGAAATTTCAAACTGAACCAGAAGATCAAGAAGTAACAAAAGAACCGCTCTTTCTTGTGGAATTATATCCATATTTAACCAATTTAAACATTTGGAGTTACTTGGCAAATGTTGTCGGCTTTGGCCTGTTGTGTATGGTCGTCAGCCTCACGATTTTAAAACGCGTGTGTTAGGGAGAGGTTTCTACACCCTTGTTTCGCTCCCCACTCCATCGGATGTGGATCTCACATTCACCCCCTTGGAGGCCAGCGTCCTCGCCGACACAACTCCCAGTGTCCAGCTTTGATACCATTTGTAACAGCTCAAGCTCACCGTTAGCAAATATTGTCGGATTTGGCCCGTTACGTAATATCATCAGCCTCACGATTTTAAAATGCGTCTACTAGGGAGAGGTTTCCACACCCTTATAAAAAATGTTTCGTTCCCCACTCCATCGGATGTAGATCTCACAATCCACCTCCTTGGAGGCCAGCGTCCTCACTAGCACATCGCCTAGTGTCTAGCTCTGATACCATTTGTAACAGCTCAAGCTCAACATTAGCAAATATTATTTGCTTTAGCCCGTTACGTATCGTAGTCAGCCTAACGATTTTAAAACGCATATGCTAGGGAGAGGTTTCCACACCCTTACAAGGAATGTTTCGTTCTCCTCTCCAACCAATGTGTGATCTCACAATCGCCTACCCTCCAATCTAACAAATACAAGAAACAGAACATAGAATGAAGAAAGAAATACACAACAAGTTCTTTATCTTCTCAAATTTCGCCATTTGAGACGCCAAAATTTCAATTTACTTTCACAATAGTGTTCCAATGAGGCTCAAAAGGCCTTTATGCAGCACTTCTACTACCAACCAAGTCAGCCAAATCCAAATAGCCAACAGCCAATGGATCTAAACATTTTCAAAAGTATGTTAAAGGCTTCAAAGCAAAGAGATGAACATAGGCTAAAGCAAGTATGCAACTCAAAGGAACAAGCATTAATTTACCTTAGCTTGAATGGCCTCGGTTTCTCTCACAATGAACTCAACCAAAGAACCAGTAAATCCATGATTACGATGGTACAGCTTTGGATTAAGAGGAAACTTGGCTCTCTCAATGAGACAGAAAACAATCGTATCCTCTTGTCTGATCAAAGAATCTCTAATTTCATCAAGTGATAGTTTATTCGAAGCCAAATCGGGGTTACAATTAACATCCGCCATGGCTTCCTTAGCCAATATCAGAACAAACAGACCAAGAAACAGCATGGTGAAGACAAAATTGTCAGCCTCAACAATCAAAGAACGAAAATGCAAGGTTATAAATACAAATAAGTGAACGATTACTATAAATACTAACAAAAAAAAAGCAGTTGAAATTTCACATTATCATTGAAAATCAACAACTAAACAGGGAAAGTCTACGCCACATAATGATGAGCGTTCACCAATCACATAGAAAAAAGGAGAAAAGGACGGCATGAAAATTAAAATCGATCAAAATAAAAGGGCTGACCTCTGCACGATTCAACTCAGCTATGACAATAATTTGTTGATGAAGTCAGAGCTTTGAAATACGAGAGGATTACGAAAAATGTCAGCGCTCGGAAACTTGTGGCTGCGGTGGAGAAGGGCTGAAAGTGCGGTGAAGCCTAAGTGAAATACACGTGAAAAGCTCTGAGACGGTGAATTATTGGTGAAGCGAAAGAGGAAATGGCTTTAAAGTTAAGGAAGAAGAGAAGTGGATGGCGGCGGTGGACGGATCCGGCGGGCGTTGCCGGCGAAGGGGTGATTTGGCGCGGATTGATTGGCTGGAGTGTTTGGATGAGGAATTTTTTTGGAGCGACGAGTGACGAGGCCCCACGCGGAATTCCAATTTAGAAATGTACGGTTGAGTGGGGACGAATTTTGTTTTTCTTTTACTTATTATTTGTTCTTTAATGCCTTGGCCTGTTTTGGTGGCGGGTGGTAGATTGAATAAAAAGATAAATTATAATTACTTTTTTTATTAAAAAAAACAAAATTTTAATTAAAAATTAAACATTGAATAAATAGTCTCTAGTTGTATTAAATTAGCTTTTGGTAATTTAGAGCTTGAGTTAATAATTTTTAATTTAGAAATTATCAAATAAATTTCTAAAATTTTAAAAAATTCTCAAATATTGTGTTATGGATTAAGTAAACTTAATAAGCTGAAAAGGGTAATAATTAATATCGTAATTTAAAAAATAATAATAAGTACGTAGCTTTTATGTTAAAATTTGAAATTATGGAAATAATTAGATGTATTTAATCATAATTAGATAATTAGTTTGTGAATTGAATAAAGAAGTTAGGTTTAATGGGGAAAGCTTTGAAATATCCGCAACTCAGTGGGCTTCACGTGTCAGCGCATTATCTAAACACTCCTGATACCAAAGAACGAAAGGTATGAATTCAACCATTAAAAAAATATTTTCAAACTATATATTTTCTTTTCTTTTGAAAATATCTTTTTCAAGAATAACAACAGCCGAAATTATTGAAGCTCAAAAGACTAATTTTAAAAGTCTAAACAGATTTTTCACAAAGAATTTTTACTTATCAAAATTTACAAATTTTAGTTTTATATTTAAAAAATAAATAAAAACATTTTGCATTTCTTAAAACAAAATAAATATTTAAAAATAAATAACTAGATAATTTACTAAGGTTTATGAAAAACAAAATAAAAATAAAATTGAAAAGAATGATCCAGAGAACTCAAATCATCCTTGGTTAACAATCTTAAAAAGAAATGTCCGGACCCGACCCGACCCGACCCGGCACAAACCCATGAACACTCCTACAGTTTTGGAAGTATACTTGTGACTACCGATTGATTATAGAGCTAAGTGCATTTGCAAAAATTATTTGACTTGGATTATCAAAATAAGCAACCAAAAACCCAATAACATTACACCCAATATCATAAAATAACACAACATAAAACACAGTAATGATGCACGAACCAATCTTACAACCTTGGCCAGAAGAAGGTGAAGATTGAAGCGTTAACAGATACACAGTCATTAATTTTATCATCGTTCAAAGATTCATCAATCGAGGGATGATTCAGCTACTAAAGCAGTTGATGACCACAACTTCACTTTGTTTGAAGCAAAGCTAGTTCTTCGGCCCAATATCCTTCAGGGCACAAATTTGTTCCTCTCCCATGGCAGACATCACCGACACGACAAGGTCCTTTCCTTCAGCAAATCCATCCTTAATCTGTGGATACAAACAACGGATTCAGTTCGTACGTACATATTAAATAGACATCAACACAAAAATGGAATAATATTAAGAATAAACCCACATGACCATATCTTAAAAATATCCCAAGGACAGAGAATATATTATACGGGGAACAGGGGGAACAGAAGGAATCAGGTACCTTCTAACAGAAAATGGAAATGAGCTACTTGAATAACTAAATTAGGGTATGAGATCTACTCGAATAACTGCAATTTTGGACGGAGAATCCGTCTAGCCATAATAAGGTTTCATATGTGACTTTACCTGAGAGAGCAGGTTATCATCAGTTGGGAGCCTCAAATCATCCTTGGTGTTACCATTGTCAGTCAAAAGACTCACCTGCAGCAAAGAAAACAACATGAATCAAGATAAAAGGCTTTACACGACAAGCTGCAGCATGTATGAATGATTCATTGCCTCTATCTACGCTTGCTTATCTATGAATTGAAGTAGAGACACCAAGCCAGGGAGATTCACCTCTATAATTAATTATAAAAACACATTGAACTATATACATATAGACAAATATATTTAACATCAGAAATAACTAAGTTTCTTGAAGTCGGGAAGACAAATTTAAATCAAACAATCTCATGTAAACAAATTACTCACAAATCCATCCTCAGAGATATCAATCAGCTGATAATCAGTACGATTAACATGAGGCACCTACAAAGCATGAAATAAGAACCATTAGTGGAACGGATATAAACCGGGTAAATGAACGCAAGCTATATAATACACTCCTTACATCACAATTGTGGGATGATGGAACGATATCTTCGAGCTTCTTGGCAGTGAAGATGTCAATTCCGACGAAGTGACACTTAGCATGCCCGTGCTTGCCAGTCTTAGAAGTTGAAACCTCAACCACCTGCATTACCAAACGAACCAGAGGGAAAAAAACCAACATACTGAGATTTAAACACAGAGACGTAGCATAGAAAGTGGCCTTACAAATAAGGAAGGCTAGAGGCAATTCTACTTTAATGCCTAAAAGTATAATTTGGAAGCACTATTCAATTAGCCTTCTAGGAGCTTCGGATAGACTTTTTCACTAATTATTATCAGGTAGCAATAACAGTCTCAATAAACACAAACGCACCCTCGCGCTTAAGAACAAGGAAACATCAATTATGGGAAATATGACACTGAGGAAATTAATCTCCGGGAATCAATAACTGCAGTGTAAACACCAGCGTGCTCTCAGAGTTATGAGGAGAAAAATCACTGTTATTCGTTGAACGAACAATACTAAACCATCAAGAAACTCTGTGAAATCATAATTACAACCCTCGGATCTCTCAACAAATATTGATCCATATGATCAATAATGGTAATTTCAGATTTATCCATTTTCCCAAATCCAACACTTGGGACAATTCTCACCGTCTAAGCTATGTAATATACGATAAATCGCACATAATCTATAACAATCAATTATCAAGCGAAATAAAATTTTCAAATCAACCAAAGATCTAACGCGCCCGACCCAAACCCAACCCTAAACACCACAAAAGATTACACCGGACGATCGAAACAACGAGAAAACCAAATCATCGCAACAAACACAACAAATCACCTTGCATGGACGGTTCTTGATGACGATGTAGCCGTTCTTCCGGATGGTTCCAGCCTGTTGAGGGTAGGTTTTGGAGGCTCCGGCGTCGGCCTTGGATTCAAAGTGGTGCTCCTCGTCCGACATGGCTGAAGATTTCGCACTTCTACAGCTTCCGAGCTTTTTCTTGTGTGTTGTACAGTGGGATTTCGGTGGAAACGGAAGGAAAGCGGGAGGAAGGAGGAGAATACGAGTCAAGAGGACGAGAGCAATTTATACCATCTGTTTTATCCGGACACGTATGTGCCAATTAGGGTTTCCACTGATATTTTCCTTTTCCATTTATTCGGGTGAATAAACGATCTCCACCGTCGCTTTATTTGTTATATTATTGACGGTCGAGATTGTTTCGAAAATATTTTTAGATATAATTTTATTTAGATGCTCTGTGTCAAAATGCCTCACTTTTTTTGTAATAAGATTTTTCTAACCCTTTTTTTTATTATTATTATTAGACTATATTAATAATAATATTCATTTATTTCGTACTTTATCTAAACAAATATCTTTAAACTTTTAAAAATTTCAATAAAATTTCAAAAATACTCTTGATCTTAAGAAAAGTTCAAAAATATCTTTAAACTTAAAAAATAAATGTTATAAAATACTTGTTAATATTTATTTCAAAAATATTTTTGAATTTTCAAGATAGTTTCAAAAACACATTTAGGTTTTTTTAATTTCTTAAATTTTCTATAAAAAAAAAAATAATCTTATTACCCTATTTCAAAAATACTAATAAATCTTCAATACTAACATTAAAAAAGTTTTTAAATAATTTATAAGATATAGTAGACAATTTTGTTTATATATTGACAATATAAACTTTTTTCCATTTTTTTGACGAAGGTGGTGTTAGTGTTAATTTTAAAGTTTTATAAGTATCTTTTAAACAAAGTAGGAGGGAGATGATATTTTTTAATTTTTAATTGATGGGTATTAATAAATTTTTATTAAGTTTAAACATACTCGTGAATATATTTTTTAAACGCAAAGTTTAAAGGTATTATTATTAATTTAGTATTACGTCATACTTCGTTTCATTCAATATTTCTAAAGTACTATTTTGTTATTTTCAAATGTTCTAATTTATTTCATATAATTATAATAAATTTAAAAACTAGTCTCCTTTAAAATAATTGATATTAAATCAATTATAAGTAATAATAATTTTCAGTCAATAAAATATTAAAATACACTAATTCCTATATACAAATTAAAATAATAATAATAACAAGAAATAACTCAATTTTATTAGACACTAAAAAAATCTAAAAATTCAGAGGTTACATTTGCAATTAAAAATAATAATAATTATTATTATTATAGAAAGAAGGGTCATGATGTTTTTGTTTTTAAATTGTTAAAAATTCAAAGGCTCATGATGTCGAAGTGGAATTGTGGAGCCTGTTCATTACATTTTTTTGTGGCTCATCCCAAATAACAACCACAAAAATAAATAAATAAATAAATAGAAATAAAATATCCATTATATTAAAATTTCATTGACCCCACTAATTATCTATCGCACTTAAAAAGGATTGAATCCAATCTAAATCCAAAGAAAAAGCACCAAGTTTAATTTGACCCAAACAATTATGTACTAATGTTAAAAAGGAGAAATAGAATTAAGATCGGGAGAAATAGAATTACGATCGAAAGTGTGTATTCTATTCATAATGTTTAAATACGATACAAGCTACCAACTTATACCTACAAATAAGAAAGATATAAAATAATTAAATAGAGAGAATAAAATAAAATATACTAATCATACTAATCAAATCATAAAGGGAAAAATATTAAGATATATTTCATAATTAAATTGAACATTTTTTTTTAGTAGCATCGACTAATTTTCATCCAAACGTGACAAAAAAATTCAGACTTAGGGAGGGATTTGTCAAAATATAATAAGCAAGAGAATTTGAAATGGGACACTCTACCAAGTTCAGATAAGAAGGAATATGATGTGATGTTTGAATAGGACTGTTCTTCAAC